ACAAAAGAGAACAGAAATTTTGATTACTGTCTTTTAAATAACTTCTAGATACAAGGAGCAACCACTTTGTGGTTGAGATTCCAACTGAGATTAAGAAAGGAGGCTGCCAGGTGAGTGGGAACACTTTATAGGGGGCCACTGAGATGATCTGAAACTCAGCAGGATTTTCACTAATTAATCCTGGTGACCTTGTTACCTAAGATAAGCATAACACCTGAACAAAGCACATGACAGCTGGCGCCATACAATCTGTGCTTTACAGTTATCGATATATTATTTAATGTGTCTTATTTTCTAGAAGACTGTCTCCTCATTCCAAAACAAAACCAAAGTCAGTAGACAAATGAAAAATTAGGAATTGCATTTGCAGTACATATGACATATAATGGGCTAATTTCTCTGTGAAACAAGGGACTCAATTAGTAAAGAGTAACAACTCAAGAGAAGAAAACAAATAGAGAATATGAATGGGCTATTCAAAGAAAAATATAACAGCCAAACAAAGTTGGCCTCATTAATGATGGCAAAAATGAAAATAAGAGTATTTTTCAGTTGTCCATTGGACACAATTTAAACAGTTGATACTATCTAGTGGTGGTGAGAAATTGTTACTCCGTTGGAAGGAGTGTAGCTTGGAATAATAATTTTTGGAGAAGTTTTAGTTCTATCTATACAAGTTAGAAAGTTATAACTGTAAGAAGGCATATTGCATATTTTTAGTTGTTAAAACTCAGAAGTAACCTAAAAGCATACCAATAGGAATATAGGTATTATAGCATACCTGTTCAATTGTACACAAAATAGCCATTAAAACGAACAAACCAATCTATGTCAATGATACAGAACAGTGTTGCATGAATATTACATATGGTTGAGCACTTTTTAATAAAATAGCAAATGTTTCCATATTTTAGGCCTGTACCAGCAAATACACGCATGTGTAAATATGCAGATATATATGCTTGTATATGTGTGGGCTGCACATGAAACTTGTATGGTTATTATCTCTAGCAAGTGGGACTGTGGTTGGAGGGAAGCCAACATTTCTTGCTTAGTTTATTGAACTACTTGAAAGTTTTAATCATACCTTACTTTTAAGGAAAAAGCCCTAGAGTATATTAAAGCATTTTACTAGAGGAGTTTGTGTTTTAGTCTTTTCCAAAAGTTACTTAGCCCCCGAAAATAGATATTTTTCCACAAGGCCCATGCTCTTAGCATGTTAGAATTTCTGTTCAATGCAAGTTGTATTATAAACACATCTTGCTAACCTTCTTCACGATGCCAACTCCCAGCATGGTTCTGTATGGCACCTTTCCTGCTGTCTTATCTTTTGCAGCTGAGTTGATGGAAAAAACATTCCACATATTCTCTGCAGTTTGAGGTCTTGTTCTGTTGTTCACGGTTTTGGATGGCTATAACTTGGGATAATTTATGCATACCTCAATAACAATAAAATAAGCATTTTTAAATAAGTACTTCTTTTCAGAAGTCGTCTAATCAGCCTGAGAGACAGCAAGGCCTAAATCTGCAGTTTGGGAATTGGGGTCCATAGACTTAGTTTTAAGTCCCTCTGATTCCCATATTGTTTTCCATGTCATACAGAAAAGTAAGGTTGTACATGGAATACTGAATTCCTGTGCAGTTTATAAAGTGACAGAGGATAAAAATAGTTCCAACTAAAGAAGATGGCTTAGCACTGAAAAGAAAAAAAGTATAAAAGCACCAAATAAGTATGCATGTGTTTGGAGGAGCCATTTATTGTAAAGCATTTTGTGAATAAGCCCCTTGCATATTTGAGGAGTCAGCAGGCCATAGGGCTGTCTAACTCGAAATGCTGTTCGCCGGCTTCCTTGTACAGGCACAGCTGAATTCTAGTCAGATTTGCCAGCAGGCCAGATGTGTGTGAGTTTGCCAGATTTAGCTGATTGAATACTGCCATGAACTGAGAAGGTCTTCAGTAACATATTTTTACTCTGTTTGTGGCATCCTTTTTGTTATGGAAGCCAAGTGGTTTGCAGAGAAGAGAGGTGAGGAATTGGGAGATTGAGGAAAACAGAAAACTTTCCTCATACTGTTTTGTCCTCATTAACAGGATGAAGTGTGGCAGGGGATGCAAGTAGAGGATTCAGTGACAGAAAATACATGCTTTTATCAGAAAGATATTTCAGTCCCAAAGATGATGTTGGCCAGCCTATAAAAGGAAATCTGCTACTTTATAAAACAAATCCAGTTGCTTTTTAATAAAACTCTACCTCTCTTTAGTCTCTGTATCTTTCATTGATTTCTCATCTATAATTCACCATAAGGATCCATTTTCCCTTTACCTGGAAGAGTGAAAAAAGGAAGAAAACAAATGAATCACCCAGTCTGTTTAATGTTGAAATGCAGAAGTGCCTCCTTGTCACCCAGGCAAAAATAAATGAAAGCCTGCCAGAGCAACTAAGGGAAATAGTGACTAATTCACAGTGATCAGGGTTAGACATGCTAGACTTCTGCTGAGGCCAACACAAACCAGACCCATCCTAGAAACATCCTGGCTCGTTCAGAGTGTTCTGCTGGAATCTGAGTCCAACCTGATAGCCCATCCAGTCTTGCTTTGCCTTAAGGAAGTGAACAACCAGCTAATTGTTTTCAAATTAACTGCTGCTTGAATAAGGACACCCAGAGGAATAGTTCAGACTGGAGACTGCAAAATTCTTCCAGCCAGTGAAGCCCCAACAGCAACACAACAGCTGATGGCCATTCTGCTGAAAAACTGACAGTAATCAGAAAGGTGCTTACTGGGGAGCAGAAGGGGCAGCTGCTGACTAGCAGCCAGTTGCCTAGTAAAGATGTGTCCTGTTCTTCCCAGTGGTACCAGAATCGGCAGATGCTGCCTTCTTGACAGCTCAGCACCAGGCTGGTTTCCCAGCTCTCAGAATGACCCCAGAAGCAGCCTTCCAAGTAGCATGTACTCCTGGTGCAGCGCTCATGGACGGGACCTCTCTGAGTCTTCTTGTGATTTCCCTCAGTGGGACACTGGGCCTAGATTTGCTTAAACTTCTTAAGACAAGACATAGTGTGAGTGTGGGAGAATAGCAGTTGTAGTAAGTAGTACACACCCTGTCAGCTATGATCTCCTAACCAACAAATCTTCCTGTATCTTTTTTCTCATCATTATTGGGGGTTTTTTGTACTTATAACCAGAAAATGAATTTTTTAAAAATTTAAAACTTCTGTTAGGGTCAATATCTCATTGTGTCACCCAGTCTGAAGGGCAGTGGCATGATCATAGCTCACTGCAACCTCGAATGCCTGGGCTCAAACGATCCTCCTGCCTCAGCCTCCTGAGTAGCTGGAACTATGGGTATGCAGCATGCAAAACGAATCTCCTGTTTTCAGCTCAACTTCTTATGCAGTGTCAAACCTGGCTGGTGAAGTGGGAGTGGGGTGCTATTTCTAGCCCAGAATGAGGCTCCTGAACCAGCAAGACACCAGGTTCCATTTAGAACAGGAAGATCAGTCAAAGCCACCCTGCCTTTCTCATTTTTTTTCTCTTTTTTTTCTCATTTCTGCCTTTCTTGCCTCTCCCAAGCAAGAGCTCCTCCCTTAGGCACTCATCCCTGTTCCTGTTAGGAAGTTTCTGCTAAAAGAACCATCCTCCCAGTGCCCCTTTCCTGAAATTGTGTCTTGTCCCTGGGTCTTCTGAAACCCCTTTTCTATAAGAAACAGGCTTCCTGATAGCCTCAGACCGCTTTATGGAAACCCCTACCACCTTCTGGCCATCAATGAAATCTGCTTCTTCTAGAGAAGATATTTCTTCCTATACAGTTTTGACTCCCCAAATGGTCTTGGACTTGGACATGGCATCAGAATTCTCCTGAGTCTCTATTTCTCTCCCATCTGAAGTAAAAACTTTCCTACCTTAAGATATGCAGTCCAGCCACTGTCTTTCCTGGGTGTTGGGGTGGGACTTTTCTGTCTGGACCCACCACTCATCTGCATTGTGAACTCTCTCTTGCTTCGCACTGCACTGTGTGCTTGCACTGGCTCGCCCCGGCTTTTTCTACTGATTGAGGTGTGTGGCCTTTTCTTTTTCACTTGTTCAAATTCTGTATAGCTCAGGTCTTTCACCCTCTCCCCTAGTCCCTTCCCTGGTAACCCCTGCTAATAGAGGTTTCTTTATAAAAGCTTACTGTAGCCCTTCTTTGGCACGTAACCATGTATGGCACTTGTGACAATCAACCTTTATATAATTTACATCTTCTAATGTTATCTAACTTTTTAAGTATTGGGTGACTTACGTACCCACTTAGATGGTCAGACTCTTTTGAGAATAGAACCTTCTGGGAACTTTCTTTGATATAATTATCATCAAGCCCAAGCATGATACTCAAGTGTCTAATAGATAATTGTGGAATGCAAGAAAGAATTAATTAATCATGAATGAATGTTTCAAGATGTAGGGAAACCCTGCTTTCTTTTGTTGCTGATTTGCCAGTTATGACCTATGTAAATAAATTTCCTGATGTGACCTCTTAGTTCTCAGCTTCAACTTGCTATGAGGTTGAGAGATCTACAGTGGAGTAATTTGAGCTTGTAAGAAAAAAAAACTGTTTTTAATTAAACAGTATGACTACAAAGCAAAAGCTGTGGTGAAGTCAAAATAGTGTCTATATTCACTATCATCTCTGTAAGTAAGGAAATACAGCATCCTTAAGGGAAAGCCTAATGTTCTATAATATTAATCTCTGCAAAATGTTTCTTTTGTCTTTTGCTACATGTTAGAAAAGAGAAATAATTAGTTCTTGAGTTAAAAAAAAAAAAAAACTGGACAAGTTAGCCTAGTAACTTCTTTTAATTGCTTGCTTGTTTTTCTGAAAGCATCAAAGAGAATGGGAGCGATTAAAGATTTAGAAAAATACAATTATTTACGCCCCATGTTACAGTGAGAGCTCACCATGGGATACTTTTTGCTATACATTGAACATTCATTGGTATCAAAGTTCTTTTCATTTTAGGAAGCCATCCCCAAAGGAGAGCAATTTAAGTAAGGGGAGATTTGAGAAGATTGAGAACTGTTAAATGTGGGAGGAGGTAAGTTATAACGGCCAAACCTTCCTCTACTTTGATTTCTCTGCTCTGTGCTGTCTCTAAAAAGCAGTATGTCATCCCTAGCTGCAGTGGAGCAGATTCATACATATTTACCATTTGCGAATTATGAATGTGCAACCCAGAGAGTAGCAGTGTTCTTTGTCTTTCTGCTTTTCTCCCTTCACTAATGATTCAAAACTCTTAGCACATCCAGGATCTGGAGACTCCTTTTGTAGCTTGTCATTGCCATTGTACAGGAATTGGGTCTTTGTAATTTAAATGGAATTTTATTTTCCAGTTTGGAAGCTTCCACATAGGTAGACTGAGGTTTTCTCCATCCTCTGTCGGGGCTTTGATGTAATGATTTATTAAGGTACTAGGAGAGATATTGATGCTGCTAATAGCTTCTGCCTTGCTACATAATGTTTTACATTTTACTCAGCTGAAAGACCATATTCCCCTTTTCCTCATCTGATTGACCATAAATGCTTTGGCCTTTCCTCAGCAATTATCTCACTTACTAAAGCAGTGGCTAAAAGTCAAGTATTTATAGACTAATTAGTGAAGTCAACATGTCTAAATAGAGTACTTCACATAATACCAAGAAGTATTGTACAGTACTGTGAAATTAGCAAAGTTTGCTACAAGGCAAAAAAGCGAGGGTTGAGAACACAGATGGTTGAGGACACATATATGGCTGATGCTAGCTGTCTTTGTGTGGGTATTAAGACACAGCTAAGATGATGTTTTCATGATAGCACTTTTCCTCTATAGCTTCTCTCCTTAATCCTAACGTATTTTTACTCATGAAAGGTTTGGGATATTAGCGGGTTCGGAATTTGTTTCCAATTTTTTTTTATACTTTACTATTTTGGGATACCAATAGATAGGAAGGTATCATTGGACACTTGAGCTATTAGAAAGACAGGATAAGAATGCAGGAATCACTTTGTTATTTTTAAAGCTACTTTGTAGTTTTAGAATGTCTTTAAAGTGTTAATTCTTGTCCAAGATATAATTAGTTCAGTTTTGAAAACAAGAAAACATTGCTGATGTAAGAGTATGTTGGGCTAGAGGTCAAACAACATGGATGGGGGCAGGCACTGTGGCTCACACTTGTAATCGCAATACTTTGGGAGGCTGAAGCAGGTGGATTGCTTGAGCCCAGGAGTTTGAGACCACACTCCTGGGCGACGTGGTAAAACTCCATCCTGCAAAAAATATGAAAATTAGCTGGGTGTGGTGGTGTGCACCTGTGGTCCCAGTTACTCGGAAGGCTGTGGGAGGATTGCTTGTGCCCAGGCGGTCAAGGCTGCAGTGAGCCAAGATGGTGCCACTGCACTCTAGCCTGGGTGACAGAGTGAGACCCTGTCTCAAAAATAAAATCAAAACCTGGTTGGAGTCCTAGCTTTGAAACCAGTTACCATATGTTTTTGTACTGGCTACACAAGCCCTCTGGGCATCACTTTTCTCATTTTGGAACTAGAGATACAAAAAAATTACGAAAATCAAAGGGATAATGAATGCCCAAGTACTTTGTAAACTGTATAGCACTATACAGATCTAACCATGTTTTTAAATCATTTGCATTTACATAAAGGGCAGCAAAGGATTCCTTTCAAGGTAAATGTACGGCAGAAATAGGATTTTAGCCCAGACTGCTGTTAAGTCTCTAATGTGGCTCCCTATTTTTGCCATAGTTGTTCCTTCTGATTCAGTGTGTACATGGATTCTCATGTATACCTGCCTTTTGCATTCCATATGATTTGGGAGGGATGGAAAATCTCTTTGGAATCTCCAAAGATTATGGAATTTCTTTGGAAGTAACAAGGAATATCTCCTTATCTAGGATCCACCTGTAATTATTTATATTTTCCCCAAGTAGCATTAGTGCCCTTGGAAAGATACTTTGTGATTTCTCAGCCAGGCGCAGTGGCTCATGCCTGTAATCCCAGCACTTTGGGAGACCAAGGTGTGTGGATCACTTGATCTCAGGTGTTCGAGACCAGCCTGACCAACATGGCAAAACACCGTCTCTACTAAAAATACAAAAATTAGCCGGGTTTGGTGACAGCGTGTCTGTAACCCCAGCTCCTTGGGAGGCTGAAACAGCAGGAGAATCGCTTGAACCTGGGAGGTGGAGGCTGCCGTAAGCAGTAAGCGGAGATCGCACTGCCACATTCCAGCCTGGGCAACAGGAGTGAAATTCCCTCTTAAAAGCAGAAAGAAAGAGAGAAAGAGAGAGAGAGAGAGAGACAGAGAGAGAGACAGAGAGACAGAAAAAGAAAGAAAGAGAAAGGAAGAAAGGAAGGAAGGAAGAAAGAGAGAACTTTATTTCTCACAATACTCAGACTAGAATGGAAAACAACAACAGTGAATTCTCCAACATGTCTGCCTTAAGTAAACATTACTGTGTGCCTGATTTATATCATACTTTTTGTTTGTTCATTATCCTGGACTTCCTTTAATCCCTCTACTTGTCATTATCTGCAGGAACTAACAATTTGCAGAACCAGAAACCAAAGCAAAACTGAATCGTACAAATGACATCAAAAAGGGATAAGGCAGATATATTTAAGTGAGCCAGTTTTAAAGAAGCGGTGAGTACTTTCACACCAGTAAAATCTAAACTTTTTCTTTGGGCCTTCATTGTCAGAGCAACCAAGTGTCAAGCCCAGTCTGTCTTATGGGATAGCGTTTTTTTTTTTCTTGTTTGTTTTGTTTGGAAAATTAAAATAGCGAAATGGTGATGATCCTACATTCACTGTTAACTTTAGTTATTACTTATTTATCGACTACTCAATGCAAGATTTCCCAATTCAGCACATATGAATTGGTGTTATGACATAGCTACATAAACCTACATCAAAAAATAGCATTCATGTTCAATTTTGTTGCTGTATTTCACTTTTGTGTGCCGTTCCCACCTCCTGGTGCCTCCTCACGCCTGTCTTTAGGTACCAGTGGTGTCTCTAGGTTGCCTCTTGACTGTTCAGATTTCCCAACCCCCATCTCCACCCCCCATATTTCCCCATACAGAATATTCCAGGCTCCAAAATTACCTCCTCTTCCTCTTCAATATTATTACAAACTCCCTTTTTTTTTTTAAATTATGACTAGTTCCATTAGGAAGGAGCAATATCCTTAAATTAATTGGTAATAAGATATCTGTGACCCGTGAAGCTCCTCCCTAATTCTCCTAGGGATGAATTTTCACTTTAACAGAAAATGATAAGATATACTATTTGCTTGGATAAGCAATCATTTGTTCCTTCATTAGCTCAACAAATAACTGGTTGCCTAGTCTTACCTTCATGTATTAAGACAGGCAGAGGACTACAAGGTTAGGTCGTTCTTTTTGGGGAGTCAGTCCTGGACCTCAGTTAATGATCCAGGCAAAACCATTCATGTCAGGCTGATTGTGGTCCTACTATGTATACCCAGGAGTGCCTACCATGTAGGCAGCAGCAATTTCAGAACAAATGAGAGGAGGAAGAACAGTTGCAGAGATGAGAGGGGACGCAAGCTGGGGCACGGAGATGCAGAGAAATAAAAAGAGAGGAGAATGTATAGCTGTATAGCCAGAAGAGTTGAATTAACCAGCGAGGTTTCTTCTGACCCTGAGATTCTGTGTAAATGAGAAAGAAGAAGGGAGGGAACAAACTAAGGAATGAAAGGGGAATGAGGAGAGATCTAGGAATATACTAAAAGGTGCATTTTTTTTGTTTTTTTGTTTTTTTTAGTTAGGAGCCTCTAGGTTAATAAATACCTTATGAATTACTGTTTACCTCCTAGAGCAGAGGTGAGCCCTTTTCTATGGCTTCTAGGAATTTCAAAAATCAATTGGTGGGTGGCCTCCCTGGCATGCTGCTTTCATGACATCAGAGAATGTCTCCCACAATGAAGTTGAAGCTGTCAATGAATACTTTGGTGTTTTATTTTTAAGCATTTTGTTTTCTTAAGTCAGGGCCCTCAAAGAGGGTTGGTAAGAGATCAGAAACCTCTCAGAGTGACAGGGCTAAAGGTCCCTGCTTCTTTCTGCAGAGGTTGGAGTTGACTTAGACATCAGGCTATCAAGTAGAGACCAGGTCAGTCCAGCAGGACATTAAAATACAGAGAAGCTAAGAACAAAACCCAGTTCCTTATAAAACCAGTGTTTTCTAAACTAAAGAAGCAAATGGAGAAAAATTAAGGCCTGTGTAAAGATTATTTAAATCATTTCATTAAGCTTACTACATACCCTTTAAGTCAAAACAACCTCATCTTGTCCGAGTTGGTGTGTGGACATAGTTGTGCTGGGCACATCCTCTCCTGCACTGGCTGGGTGTGCTGTAGAAGAGGAGAGGTGTAAGGAACAGCTAGAACAGCTTTGTGGGCAATTGTACCATCATGATTGGGTGCAATTTAAATTGATATTAAGATACCAAATGTTCTTTTGCTTTTCAGTCATCATATTATCAAATGTAATAATTGTTGCAGCTTATGAAACCCATGACTATCAAATTTGACTAAATTATAATGTACCTTTTAAGATAAATGTTTTTGCTATACAAGAATGTTTTTATCTTAAAAGATAAAAAATGGGTCAGTAGTTTCCTGAAGCAGAAATATTCTGCATAATTTTTATTTTTTTCTCTCTTTATTATATAATATTTTTTATTCCAATAGCTTTTGGGCCAACAGCACCTCAAAAAGATAATACATCACGATCAAATTGGTTTCATCTCAGGGATGCAGGGATCATTTAACATGTATAAGTCAATAGATGTGATACTTCACATAAATAGAATTAAAAAGAAAGGCCACGTAATTTTTAGAAAATAAATTATCCCCTGAACTTGATCTAATTGCTTCATTTTGAAGCCTCACCGTGGACAAATGTAAACTATGTTCTGTGTTAGGTATGCTATACTTGGAAAAGTATTTGAGAAAGCATATCTTGAAATAGCATCTGTAATTTTTATTTTATTTTAAAAATCCCAGTGAAATGAAGTTTAGGATTGTGTATCTTTTTAAGAGTTATGCAAAATTTCTTTAAAAAAACTTTGTCTCTTGGGTATGATAATATTTGTAGGATGCTACTGGGAAAAAGCACAATGACACCAGGGTTTTGCTCTCTAAATATGGGTTACTTATGGTCTAAAGTCTTAAACAATTAAGAGGCAGCGTGTTTTGTAATGTGAACTCCTTTCCTGAATAACATAAACTACTGATCTAAATTGCTATTGTAATGTCACAAAAAGCTCCTTGGCTAGAGAGGATTGATTCTTTCACACAATACAAAGTACAACTTCTTTGCTGTGTCCATATACCCTGAAGATAGGTCTTAGAAACTTTGTAAGGAGGAGGAGAGTTTTTGTAGTTTTTGAGCACATTATCATGGGAAAATTACTTAACCCCTTTGAGGCACTGTTTTCTCACCTATAAATTTGGGCCAGTAATAATTTAACCCTCTCAGAGTTTTTGTGATAACTGACTGAGGCACTGAGCAGTGCAGTCACATCTTATCTCAAGCAAGGATTAGATGAATAGTCAGGTAGAAGATGAGAAATACGTGTGGGCAAAACTATTCTTGAAATGTGCCTAATTTTTTATAAAGAACAGCAAATGTGGTTCTCTGCCTACTTGTACCATCTCTTGGGATGTCCTCATAGTGCATGTCCCTCCAGTATGACACCCAACTGCTGATGGACACTGGAGGAAGACGCCATGTTGAATGAGCAATAGCGTATTGTGGGGCTCCACCTGTGTGTAGGATACCCAGCACCATGCCTCACACGATTCATATTAGTTTGCCTTCCTTTATTAATATTAGTTCACTTTCTCCTGTACCCTAAAGCAGGGGTCCCCAGCACCAAGGCCATGAACCAATACCAGTTTGTGGCCTCTTAGGAACAAGGCTACACAGCAGGAGGTGAGAGGCAGGCGAGTGAGCATTACCGCCTGAGCTCCACCTCCTCTCAGATCACCAAAGGCATTAGACTCTCATGGGGCGAGAACCCTACTGTGGGGTGTGCTTGTGAGGGATCTAGGTTGCGCACTCCTTATGAGAATCTAATGCCTTGTGATCTGAGGTAGAACAGTTTCATCCCAAAACCACCCCCCCGCTGCCATCCGTGGAAAAATTGTCATCCACAAAACTGGTCCCCGGTGCCAAAAAGGTTGGGGACCACTGTCTTAGAGCCTTGATATTAGTCTCTCCTGAACCGTTGGGACCTGAATGTAGAATTCAGTACAGCTTTTAAGACCTTGATCACAGGAGACCAACTTGAAGTGGGTGATTCTGAAACCAGACATGTTGGAACTGGGTTCTTGTAGGATACACCTCATTTTCATTGAAGGCTGAGGAGCCGCCATACGAGCATTAGGCTCAGAGCGTATATACATTTGCAAGATACAGAGGAGTATTCTCCAGACTCTACTAATGCAGTTAGTATATTTTAAGTAATGGTAAATGTCAGCAATGTCAAAAATAACATCATCTGAAAAGTCATGCATTGCTGTGCCGTAACTATTTTTACATGAGGTATTGATCATAGTAGAATACAAAACTCCCATTCTTGTGAAGTCAGAAGATGAACTGAAAATATAAATGAAGTTAGAGATGAATTAGTTATTTTACTAGGTTTTTTGTTGAATAGAGGGACTTGTGCTTCCTAATGAGTCATTTTAAAGTAGTTTTAGCAGTTGTTATATTCCTATTCTTGTCTGAGTTTGAATTCCATTGACTAGGTAAAAATGCATTTCTCAGTTGCTGAGTTTTCAAATTTCTGTTGGTAAGATAGAGACATTAAAGATGGGAGTTTTGCTAGAGATTGTTTCATTGTTATTTCAGAGTAAATTCAATGTGACTGATATTACAGTGGACTGATTGATACACCCTGAGAGAGAAGAACTGTCTCTGTCAACAACAACAGCCTAATTTCATAAATTTTTACTGTTTTGTGCCAGAGACTTTCCTACATGGCAAGGATAAAATGCCTTTTGGGAATTTATTATACTTAAGACAAACATATGGACAGAGAGTTTCAAAAAGTGTAATCAATTCAGTGTTAGAGGGAAACATAAGAGTTTGTGGGAGGATCAGAAAGGGCTTCTACACCAAAAGGAGAGACTCTACGAAGAGGTTTTTTTTGGGTTTTTTTTTTTTTTTTCAATTAACCATTTTCAAGTAAACAATTCCATGGAATTTGGGAAGGGTTTTTGCAGAAGATAATATCTGAACCCAGTTTTGATAGGCTTTTGATTGAAAGAGGTGGAAACAGGTAAGTGGAGGGAGAGCCATGGGCATTCCATTAGTGATATCTGTCAGCTTGCATTCCTCTCCTGCCAGCTGCACCTTGGGTTGTCCCTTCTTAGCTTATGGAATCCACATGGTACATCTGCAGGAATAGGCCACCAGGGCTGGCCATTCAGACCAGAGGAATAGCAGACCACAGGGATGGCATGTGGACCCAGCCAGATTAAGGAGACCCAATCCTGAGACATTTGTTGAACTCCCAGAAGAAGTTTGTTGTGTTTTATAAAACTGAGGTTGCTGTATGATGTAACACAAATCTGGAGATCCTGATAGTCATTTTGCCTCCAGTTAAAGATAACC